GTCCAATTTGTTTTCAGTTCATCCACATTCTTGCAGTCCTTTTTTCTGCAAGACATTTCTTGTTGACATTTTGTTGCTTACATGAGAAAGATCCTAATGACGTTGGTGAGCCCTTATTGTTTAGTTTTAAACCAAAGTCCTGTAAAGTAATGGCATTTCTATACGTTTGTTTTTTCTTCTTCCTGTTTTTCATGCTACATTTCATGCTTAGTTTCAGATGCATACACACCACAGAATACATAATGTACTGAACATTAGTAGTTATTATTAGCTGGTTAGCTTGTTTAAATAATTATTATCTTAAAGCCCTGTTCTGCCTGAATAAAGCCTCTCAGAGCAGCTTATTAGCAGCAATGTTAGATAGTTCAAAAAGACAAAAGTCAAAGGTTTATTCCCATGCAGATTCCCCTAACACCTTCATTTCATACAGCTGTTCTAGGATGTTATGATGATAGAATGGACAAAAGACACTTGCATTTAAAGATATAGACACATAAACAGCTTGTTCTGAGCAGAGCTGAAAGAGAGGGGTTTATAGGCACGCCAAAATATAGGATCGGTGTTGGTTTTTGGCAAGCTTCAAGTACATGTTTTGGAGACCTCTGAGACTTGTTTAAACTTGTTGAAATGGAGTATAAGTTTCAGCATAAAAGCCTGGGCACACATTATCCCTCTGCGTCAAAACCATACGTCAAAACATGGTTTCAAAAACAGCCTCTTGCTTGATATAAAAGCTTTAGTTGTCTGCTGTCTGACTTTTATTGCACTGCTCTGTCGCTGTGCTCGGCTGGTTGTGGGAAATCGTCTACTGCCCTCAATCCTGTGGTCGGCGCCTTTCATTGTTGTGTATACGAGTGTTTGGTGGCAGGGAGCTGGTTATGCCAGAACAGGCTGATTTCGCAATCACAAATGTTCCAATTATGCAAATTATGCCGTAAAAACACAGACGTTAACCATCCCATCTTTTGCTTTAAAGAAAGTGTGGTTGGTAGTTGTTTTAAGACAGAGCTGCAAACAGAAACAGAGGATAGATGAGAATTTGAAAAAAAAAGGGTAAAGTAGGTATAATGGTGTTTATACTCTTTTTCATGACTGTTAATCAAAATAGGACAACTCTTTAATACTTTAAGATGTTGACTACGTGGAAGCACAAAACCTCTGCAGAGCTCTGATGATGTTTTTAAGGCTGAGGGCACAGAGTAGTTTCTGTCTGACTGCTGTCCCTTTTCATGAGTGGAATGATCAGTCACACCTGTACAGTCACTGTAAACGTGGCTGTAAAGGGCCTGTGTTCTCTATAAAACACCAAACACACCTGGGTCTGCTTAGCAACCAGTGTATGCTATGTGAAAGACACACAACCACACACACACACACACACACACACACACACACACACACACACACACACACACACACACACACACACACACACACACACACACTCGCTATCTCTCTCTCTCTCTCTCTCTCTCTCTCTCTCTCTCACTCACACACACACACACACACACACACACACACACACACAAAAGCACACTGGCACATGCAAGCATGAACGTGCGAAATACAAAAGTCTGATATTGTTCCTTAGTTGGAAAGTTTGCAGCCAGCTTCAATTTGAAACAATGAAAACAAATGTGCAATTCTCAGATGTGATCATAATTCACAGACTTTGCTGAGTCAGCGCGCCTCTGAGGTTACAGCAGACTAATGATCACACAAGGTTTCTGTAAAATCTAGTTTTTGAGTCTCTTCTATTCAACTGTATGTGATCATTTTTTGTGCTGTAGAGAGCAAAGAAACATCATTGAAACAATATTAGAATTTGTAGTTTGACTTTAAAAAACATATATATTTATGTATTTTCTTGATAATACTGATGGCACTTTCTTTATAATAATAATTAAACTTCAGTCAGCTCAGCTTGAATACAGGAGACAGGGAGCAAACAAGTTTCATCGACTTTATTTATTGAGGTTTATCTGCGGGCTAAATAGGGAAACCCTGACAGCAGCTTTTAGTGAGAGATGGAGGGGTCTCACAACCGTCCTCTGCCAACATACCTCCCAAGTAACACACAGCCTTGAAATTCCTCCACCTGTAAAATACAGAAGTCTTGTGTGTGGCTTGAAGCCACAATGTTGAATATTTAGCTACATTTCACCCAGGCTTTACCTTCATACTGTACCGAACTTTGATCCGGTACAATCATAAGTCACTGTTACCTTCACATCAACTTTATTTTATACCAACTGGACACCAAGCGTTTTAGTGTCAGTGGTGCAGAAGAACATTGTGTCAGATTTGAAGCTTGATCCAAAGGCATCTGGACAAACCTTTCAAAGCAGAGGGGAAATGTCTTCAAGATCTTCAACCAAGTCCAGTTGCCTTTCTTTCGTCGGTAGTTTACGTTCATTTATTTCTGTCTGTGCTTCTTGGGAATCTTAAATGAATTTTGCATAGACATGTTTTGGGAAATTATATCAGAACTATCAAAACATTTCCTGGAGATGATTGTGAATATTCATTGGGAGGTTTTTGAGAATTTTAGAAATTTCCTGTATATTTTCAGGTATCTCCAGGTATTTTCATCAGAAATGTTCAGAAACTAACTCTCACCTGACGAGGTATTGTAGTAGTACACCTTCGCCTGCTGATACTGATCCTGTCCTCTCGTGCCTGTTGTCTTCCCTTTTATTGATCAAGTTGAGCAGTGTGCGTGAGTGATTTTGTCTCTTGCACTAATGTGATTGCACTAATACAATGACATATTAAAATTCTTCGATTGATATTGTGCATTGCCATTGTCTGATCAGACTTAAAGATTTTTCTCGCACTTTCTCACATTATCCACAAAGAAACGGAGACATGAGGAACAATGCTGCTTCTAACCAGGTGCAGGTGTCCTGGGAATCATTGACCTGAGGTGTGAAACGTCACTCCCAGGGGGTCGGGAGGCATAAGTGCAGTTTCCCATGCAGCAGATGGCAAACTGTAGACAATGAGTGGATGAGACAGGCGAGCCAGGTAAAGATGGGGGTGGGGATGAAATGGGTTAATCTTGCACTGCTTGGCCGTTGGAGGAGTCACTTTAAACCTATATGCACCATGGGGCGGGAGTGGCTGCTATAGCTTCTTTTACACTGTATGGCTCTGAGTAGACTGTACAGAAATACATTGTGATAAGACATTCAGGGTTTTTTTTAACTCATATTTGTGCATAATGTGAATCCCTCACCTGTTGTCTGCTGACCTCCAGTAACCCCTCCCCCTCCCGTTAAGGTGTGTACTTTCATTCAGGGAGTAGCTTAGCAATTTAACTAAATAGGCTTACATGTCAGACTCATCTGCTTTGCCAACCTCCTCCATTACTTGAGTGCTTTCTCTCCGTTATGCAAACTCTTAAGATACTTAGATCTGCTCTCATTCAGCTTGATCATGTTTGCTGGGCCTTGAGACAAATAAACCCCCCACGTGCATTTTCTAAACAGATTACAGGACTACAGTGGATTCAGTGTGTGTTTTAGCTGTTCCTGTTTGTTGGGCTGCAACATACAATACAACGGACAGTTGGACAGACTGTTAAAATTGATTATAACTAAACCCATTAACTCATCAGGATAAGCATCTTTTCTTTTAAGGATCATTCTGACCTACATTTGAGAATATATTTTTCTTTTTGCTCTTATTGTAAGTTGGGGTTTGTGGCTGTTGTGTGTGGGGAGGTGGATGTCAATCAATCAATCAATTAATCAATCAATCTTTATTTGTATAGCACCAATTCATAACATGTTATCTCAAGACAAAAGTAGGTAAAATACCTTACTCTTTGTTATTTAATATTACAAAAGAACAGGTAAAAGACCTTACTCAGTTATATTACAAAAACCAAGCGTTAATCCATCATCCAAATAAATTACTGTGGCAAGAAAACACTTCCTTTTAAGAGACAGAAATCTTGGGCAAATCCAGGCTCATGATGAACAGCCATCTACAGAAACTGCGCCGGGCTTGAAAATGGGATAGGGGGAGATGGGATAAGATACAGGAAGAGGGATGTCGTGTGGTTCACCAATTCAGAATTTGATATACTACAATATGGAATACTAGAAATGTTATGGAAGTTTGGTATTAGCTTACATACTCTAAAAACTGGGTGGATTATAAGAAAAATAAATTCCTTCATCAAGGCGATATAAGAAAGAGAAATAAATGTCAGGCCTTAGCATATCTTTGCTTTGGGACTGTTGTCGAAAATTAGATGAATATTTTTGGTTCAGCTTAAGAGTAGCTTTGACCAGAAAAGACGCTGTAATACCTTAAAAAAGGTGAATCTCTCTGTTATATATAGACTAAATCAATAACTGACTTTTCTTTGTCTTTTTATGCATATGTAGTGTCAGCGTGGGTTACTTATAATCACCATAGTTGTCATGTGTAGTTATATGACCAAAGATCACAAGTTTTAAGTGAAGTAATATAGTTTAGCATGTATAATATATTGCACTAATCACACTTATCATACTTTGGAAATAAGGATGATGATATTCATCAGAGAGAAAATCAATTGAAAATGTCAACAACAACAAAAAAGGTAAGCTGAATGATGCTAAAACATCTGTTTAGCAGAGTCCAGTAGCCTTAATATGATCTTTATATTTAGTAACTGTTTATACAAGTTAGTCCTTTAACATTTGACAATATTAACTTGCCTATTGTTAACATAAAAAAAGGCATGACAGGAAGAAGGAATTAATCATGTCCAACAGATGCTTGTCTTTGGAAAAACTAAGAAACAAATCTGAAGATTACACAAAAAGAACGTCAACATATCCTACATATACATTAGTTTATAAAAGAGTAGTAAGTGTTGTTAAGGTCAATGCAGAAGCAGTGTGCAGTCTGTGCCGTGTTCACAGAGCCAATACTGCTGTCACACTGAGGCCCCGCCCACACTGTGACGAAGCAGGGAGAGTGCTGAGCTGAGAGAGGAAAGCAGCTTTAATTGCAGGCAGAAAGAAAAGCCAGCGATGGCTTCGCTCAGGCAGGAGCACCAGTATGGGCTCTCCTGTGGAAAAAATAACAAAAACAGCTCTAACAGGACGCTTTACCATGTCAAGCTCACGGACACAGCTATCAGAGCGCTGGAGGCTTACCAAAACCTCAAGGTAGGATTGCTTTCTCGTTTTCGTGCGCGCGTGTGTTTGGATATGAATTGTCAAAGTTGTAGTGTATTTTATTTTTATTTTCTCGAACAGTTGCATTTGGTGGAACAGACTAATTTCTTTGCTGATTAACTAGTAGGCTATGTCTTGTTTTGTCGCCCCACTATAATTAAAGAGGCTAAATTGGAGTAGCCTTACTTGTAGGATAGCCTACTCGTTTTAAGTTTCTTGAACTGAATCAGCTGGATAGGATACATGTCCGCAAACACATCAGTGGGCTACTGAACTGTGTGATTGTCGAGAACGACGAGCCGTCAGCTGTTTGCTGGGAAACCTTCCTCAAGCTTCAAAGTAAAGCAGAAGCGCCTGAAGTCTGCCAAGTTCTCTAATTGACATAGTAGTTTGACTCATAATTAGCTCCAACAGAGACTATTAGCACGCAGGCATCTCTGATTGTGTAATTTGAACTCGGTGATAACCGCGTTACAGCATAGTTCTGTTTACTGGACAAATATGTAGCCTCGTATACTCAGGGTTATGTGTAACTACACCAAATAAAAGCCTGTTTTTCTCTCTTTCCTCAGGGATCTTTACCGATTGAACCCACGATTTGTTTCAAAGGAAACCAAGGGGTAAGTTCAAATAAAAAAAAATCAGCATATTGTGTTCATTAGGTGTTATAAATAATGATATCAAATCTTACAATGAACAATCACTCAAAGCTACAGCCATATTTTTTTTAAACAAGTTCCTTGATACAAACCAAGTAATATTCATCTGCATCCCACAAGTCTTTATCTCAGTGTAAGTCAGTCACTTAACAATGGATTAAAGAGCAAATCAAGAAGACAAAGTGTAGTTTTGTCAATAAAGCAATGTATCACTGCGACATTTATGAAACAAAAATGTTTATAAAAAACGTATTCTCCAACCACAGACAAGCTTTTGTTCAACATTCATTGCTGTTGACTCACACGGCCCACCATGCTGCGGCTCAGAGAGGAGATTATAGCCGCTCGTCTCCAGCAGATAGGAGGCATGCAGGTTACTGGGTCAGGCTGGTGACTGTGGAGAGGCTTTGTTAGGTCAGTGAGCAGTGCTGGGAAAAAGACTAGAGGGGAGGGAGGGAGGAAGGGAGAGAGAGGTGCAGAGTGTCAGAGCCAGCAGAACGGTAAGGACTTATCATGAGTCAAAGACAAGTCTGCAGACACTAAGATTAGCCCAGTGCAACTTGTTCTTGTTTGGAAAAAATACATCTTATTATTACAAATGTTCCTGTGTGCATTGACTGTCTGTAATACACAAAAAGACACTAATGTGTCAGTTATAATTCTGTGCTCTTGCAGGATGTGGCCTGAACTTTGTACGTTTTGTCTTGAGTCAGGAGCAGCTGTGTCCTTGGGGTGTAATTTACTTTTAAGTCAAATCAAATGGTACAGAGTGTTTGGAAAGAGCTGCTGCCAAAACATGCTGAGCTGCAGTGCTGGTTGGTTTTGTTAGGGTGCTTGAGTGGTAAAACTTTATTAAACGTGTCCGATTTATTTATTTTTTTTACCTAGTTTGAGTGTTTTTGGTAAATTTATGAATTAAACTTTGCATTTTGTAATTTGTTGTTTCCATTTCTTAGGTCAGAATATTTTGGCATAACTGCTTGAATTCACAGGGAACGATGCAAAGAGGACAAAACTCTGAACACTTTTTAGTGATGGAAGCAACAAGCTAAAAAACAAACTAATGTTTCTAAAGTGTTGACTTCTATAAACTTTTGGTATAAGATTAAAATATATTTTTTCTTAATAGAGAATACCGTTTAAAAAATACATGATCATCTAGGACAGACAGTTTGTTGTGCCACATGTTCAAAAGAGAGAAAGTTAAACAGCTTTTATGTAATGCTGATATGTTTTTTTTTTCTCTTTTGGCAATCATGCAAGCGACACTAGACCTGAGCCCGCTATTTTTTGAATCCCGACACAGTCTCATCGATGCATATGTACTATCATTGTGAGGTCTGAGGGCTTCCAGGGACTTTTGAACCCCTCCCTCATGTTTCTGCACTATAAGATAAAGTTATTAGCCAAATAAGCGTTTAGAGGTAATCGCAGTAACCATAATGCTCTTGATTACAGCGTGAGGCATCATGACTTCAGTTTACATTAGCTTTCCCTGTCGGTCTGACTCAGACAGTCGTGTGTGTGTGTGTGTGTGTGTGTGTGTGTGTGTGTGTGTGTGTGTGTGTGTGTGTGTGTGTGTGTGTGTGTGTGTGTGTGTGTGTGTGTGTGTGTGTGTGTGTGTGTGTGTGTGTGTGTGTGTGTGTGTGTGTGTGTGTGTGTGTGTGTGTGTGTGTGTGTGTGTGTGTGTGTGTGTGTGTGTGTGTGTGTGTGTGTGTGTGTCTCTCATTGCTTGGATAGCAATAGGAGGATTGCTAGGCAGATAAAATGAACTCTGGCCTGCTAATTTTGCTGCCCCACTTTTGTGTGTTTGCACAGAAAGAGAGAACACACCTTGTTCGTTGAAGTGGTGTGTGTGAGAGAAAATGATACTGAATACTTTTTTTAGGTGTGAAAAGCTGGAGATTGTTGTTGTTTTTGCTGTGTCCTGTGTGGCCTAAAGGCATGATTTATTCATGTCCTTTTTCCTGTCCTGCCTCCTCTGCCCATTGTGAAGCTGTCTTTAGGACCAAAGTGGATCTCATGAGGATCCCTCTGTGTGTGGTGTGCGCTTGTTTGTTTGCCTTGCCTGCACTTTTCCATTACTTGCTTTTGATGATTTATTTTCTGAGCGTTATTTTTTGGTTGTTGTCTGTGAGTGTGTGTTGAGGCTGCCTGAGATCCCCCAGACTCCCCCTCTGAGTGTGTGTTTCCTTTTTCTGAATTTGAATAACAATGTGTGGGGGAATGCAGGCTGTTTTTTGTCCCCTTCTTTGCGTCAGCCGAAATGAAGTGAGTACAGTGGGTCCAGATGTGTTGGGGCCTGCCCTGAGGGTTTGTTTGTGCCTCACATGACAGACACTCCCCTGCTGTGGATCTAATGGAGTGGAGACTGAGATTGAGAACACTGCAAACATCATCCATTTAAAAAACACCAAGCCATTGATGCTCAGACCAAAGTTTGTGGTCAAAACTTTTATCTGACAATTGTACTTTATATTGGAAACATTGATATAACTTCAGAAGCAGTAGGAGCTGAATTATCAAAGACTACAGCAAACAAACTGTCCATTTACTTAAATGAAAACTTCAACTCTTAATTTGAGCATAAATAACTTTTAAACATAAAATTAAAGAGTACATGGGGGGCAATTGTAAATGCAAATGAAAACTAAGAAGAGCTTATAATTATTTCTGGTTCGTCCAAGGCTTATACCAGTGTCAGTATCAGCCTCAGATACTGAATAAAATGCAGTTGGCCTATCAGGGATCAGAGGGTACTCAACTCAATACAATGAACTGATGACAGTCATTTAGTTCTCCTGATCAGCTGGTTATGTTTAAATTATCACCAGGTTAGAATGTAATGCTAATCAAAACTAGTCCAATGTCATCAGTGTTTTTTCACCAACATTATGTTTACCCAATACTCGGGTTTAGGTTTCAGAAATGATCAATCAATCAATCTTCATTTGAATAGCGCCAATTCCCAGCATTAATCCATCATGAGCGTAGCACTTAGCAACATTAAGCGAAGTTACAGTGGCAAGAAAAAACTTCCTTTTAAGAGGCAGAAATCTTTGTCAAAACCAGACTCATGATGAACAGCCGTCTGCACAACTACATCCTGCTTGTTACTGTATAGTACTGCACATAGCGTAAGTATGAATGCCACATGTACAAGTGTGGGTTATCAGTAAGGGCGCACTCACACTAGGCAATCCGTAACCGTGCCCAAGCATGCTTCACTTTAAAGTCCAGTTCTCTTGACCAGTATGAGTGCTCCGTACCGTGCTCAGTCACGGTACACTTCCATGGCTCTGGCATGCTTTGAAGAGATGTGCTTCGGCACGGTACAGTTCATGCACTCACACAAGCTAGCAGGCACACAAAGTGGACAGCCTTTATTATCCAGAAATCCTGGAGTGTTATGGCTGTATCTCACTAAAATTACTCAAAATAAGCCACAAAGTAGCTCTCATGTTCTCTGTGCTGTTCTTCGATGTGCGGACGCGGACAACTTTGCTAGTTGTCCGCACCCCTTTAAAGGGGTGCTTCAGCTCATCTCAGCCCCTTAAAATAATAACAGGGGCATTGCGCCCACCAAAGTATTGGAATTTGACAGACATTTTAATTATATATTTGAGCTAACATTTAATTATGTGTAGTAATATTCCTTTGCCAATGCCATACAGCAGAACTAAAAAAAAAAACATACCCCTCTCTCTACTGTTGATTTAATCCAAAAGTCACAATTGTACCATCAGATCTGCACAGACAGAGAGTGAAGCGACAGGGAGCAGTGAGTTGCTTATTTAGTTGTCTTACTTAGTTGTTATTAGAACATCAACCCATTTAAATGTGTAAACATGTAATATAATAAGTTATACATTAAGGAACAGCATTTTTGCATTTTCTAATTCAGAAGTTTCAGCGCTCTGGTTGGCAAATTAAAGTTAGTTGTATGATTATGTAGCATCGTGTTTAATATTAATAAGTAGATTAGAGCTGCATGAATCTAAGGAGAGGAGGTGAGGGGGTTGACCATTTTTAGACTATAACTAAATCAAACACAAAAATTAAAATTAAAATTCCCTTTCAGGGTGCAGAAGAAAATCTTTCCATTCAAACCCAGAGGTCAATGATGCTACAGGTTGTTTTGGTAAGAACATATTAAATTGTAGATTATTTTACTCAACAACAAAAAAAAAGATTAAATTAATTAGAAAATTATCCAGCCTATTCACTTTAGTAAAATTAGTAATTATACAGTGTTTTGGATTGTATTGTTACATGTAAAAACACTGCATTCAAAACTTAGATATAATGGTATTGGTTGATCAACGAGTAGAATGACCTATTGTTCTGAATGTCATACAAATGAACGTACAAATTACAATTGACTTATAATAATGATATTTGTCCGAATTTAATTATTTTGCTTAAAACTGTATTTTCCATTGTCTGACCCTGAAATTACCCCTGGTGCTAACAGAGGAGAGATTGTTCTGAAGATTTCTAATGTTTCATCACTGGTGCTTATAGTTTGCATCAGTTTGCATTTTGTTCTTAAAAGCCAGGAATTTAAAAAAAAAATCGAACGCACAGTTCTGATAACATATTTATTTAAGGAACGTGAGTGTGCAAGACCAAGACAAGGGACACCCTGTCATTCAGCTGCAGCAGCACTGTGCTCGCTCTCACATTAACCATCTTGGAGATATGGAGCACATCTTGGCTCACTGAGGAACCTTTCCTGTCTAATTCCCTCATGTGAAAGTCCACACCATAAGCTAATGAGGCATAAAAGGGTGTTTGTCCTACCCAGACACACACACCCACACAGACACCAGCACACAAGCACATCATGTTATGGCCCTGCATTTCTGTAGAAGATCCCACCTAGCTTGGGGGGGATAGAAGGAGGGGCATCTGTCAGACACAGTGACCCACAATTTGTTGAAGTTGACAGTCTGGCCCTC